GTGAAGAAAAGTAAAGAGTAAACTCTTCATTTTTTTTTTAATGGTTAGTATATTAAGTATATTAAGGTTTGAACCTTATCTGTGTTGCATATACTTGATTTCTAGTGAGAAAAGTAGTGTACATTTATGGCTATTGGTACTTGTAAAATGTACACAATCAATTAGAAAAAGAGATATTTGAATTCAGAAGTCGATGTTTGCAAGCCTCCTGAATGACTAATTTTGCTGCGATTATTTGTCTTTTGATGCAATGTCTTCTTAGAAATTTCATGCAAGATATGATGATGTTTATAAATCTCAAAACACTTAACCAACCAAAAAGAGTTCAGACAGATCTCGATTGAACACTCAAATTAGGTGATGATGTCAAGATTAGGCTGCAAAATTATGAGTGGCTTTCAATCATTTTTATTGAACATGCAATATAAGTATCTGTCACACCTAAAAGATACATTTAAAGTAATGGAGCAAAAGCCTCACCCTTAATAAATCTTTATTATATATGATTGAGATATATCATTTAGATTGAAATTGAGACTTGCAAAGATATGACAGATCATTTATTAACTGAATAAAGATCTCATAATTCTTTGAAAGATATTGTAACTAATTCATGGTTGTCTTGTTAACACAATAAATAGAGCTTTTCGGAGGAAATTTGCTTCTAATATGAGGAAGTTTGCTTCTAATTGAAACAAAGAAATTAGAGAGAAAATGAGTGATTAGGCTCCCTTCATTCAAATATAGAAGAGGGAAATAGTTTGAAACTAACAATAGAAATCTAACATGTCTCTTACCCATAGAGAGGAAGAAGTTTGCAATAAACTTCTTCAATGACTTTTCTCTCCCCAATCCAATCATTGTTTTCTATAGTCAACTTATTAGTATCAATTATAAAAGGTGTACAGTGATCTCTTCGTTAAGCAAAATAAGTGAATATAGCTTCATAAGGTGGTAACTTAAATCATTTATATGTATGAAAAGAAATATTAGATGCATCTTTTTAAAGCTTAAAAGGACTCTTTAAAATTTATACATTCATGTATGTAGGTGAATCTTATTGAATTGTGTAAATTTATTTGTATGTCCTTTTTATATATTCATTAAATTTACTTTCTTCTTTGTCTTTTATCATAATATATAATATTAGAGCTTTGGGTATGTAATTGAGAAAATTGATAATGAAAGACAAAAAAAGATAATATTAATAAGTTTGATGGCCAGGATTTTAATTATTGGAAGGTGTAAATAGAATATTAACATCATAAAGTAAAGTTTTATTAGTTTCTGAAGGGATCAAAGCCTTGTGCTATTGATTAAGAGAAGTGGAAGTTGAAGAATAGGAAAGTATTAGGAGTTGTTTGTTTTTTCCTATCAAAGATTTTTTTTTTTTTTAACATTCTCAATAAAAAGATCATAGTATATGTGATGAAAGCATTTTCAAACATGTATGAGCACATTAATGAATCCAATTGGATCATATGTTAATTAAGCTCTTTGGGCATTAATTTTAATTTTGGAATTCATTCATCGTGTTTGATTTCATTTGCTAACTGAAAGTTGGAATGTAGTGTTGGTCATTAACAACTCTTATGGATCAAGCTAGGGGTGTCAATTTCGGGTCACGGGTCGGGTTCAGGTCGAACCCGAACTGACCCGGGTGCGAAACGGGTCGACCCTAACCCGAACGATCAAGCAAATTAAAGCTAAATATTGCTAGAGAACTCATCTTTCACTTAAGTTATTTGATGTTGAACTACCTAAAATCGCTCAAAAAGAGTAGGCATGAAATTGTCAAATATATATATGAAGAAGAACTACAAAGTACATCTACATCTCAGATGGCTTTATCATCAGTTGGGTGATAGTTATTGATGATAATTACACTATTGATAAATAGAGATAGAGTATATAATTATCACTAAAGCTGGCAAGGAGATAGTTTAGCTTTAAAGCTTTAGGTAGAACAAGTTAGAATATAAGAGGATGTCCGGCCCTTTTTTAACAATCAATGTGAAGTTCATGTAGTGTAGAATGTAGCTTTCCACTCTAAAATAAAACACAAACCTTTGAAGTATTATTACATTTACAGTTGTTGGAAAAAGATATTTTGCAAGTGAATAAAATCAAAGGGATAAAAATATTTTGTAGATGTGGTCAGGGATAATGAGACCTCAATCAAACTCATTGAATGATTATATGAATGATGTATAGAAAGATATTTAGATCACAAGATTAGGTGATTCAATGATGCGGAGAGTAGCCAAAATATGTGAAAGCTAAGATATGAACTCTTGAGAGAATCTCTGATGTTGTCACGATGAACCTAACATAAAAGAATTTTTTATCATACAACATTAAAATAAAAAAGTAGCTTATTAAGCAACCTTGATAAATTCTTAAGAGCCATGTGTTGAGTACCAAGATAGGCAAGAGCCATAATAATGTCCTAAAGTCAAATAGATTTTGGCCCCATAAAGATCATTAATCGTGTAATAATTATACTAGCTTAACAATTTCATCCCATGATGTGGCATACCTTATAAAGCCCTCTTTTAGAGTAATGATTTTTGTCATAAATATATGATGCAAATTATGCATCATATTTCATAAATGATATCCCATATCATAACTAGCCTTCCCTCTCTAAAAAAGGAAGTCGAAGAAGGGTTTTTGGGTTTGTTATTGGATTTTTACACAAGAAACCTTAGAGGGTCCAAGCTTAGATAAGATAGCATTCTTTTATAAATAAAAGCCATATAATTGAGGAACTAGAGTGAGGAGCTTCTTCCTCATATTTTTCCTATTTCATTTATTAATAAACTTGTGTGCTTAGCTCCATGCCCCACATGAGATCTTGATTGCAAACCTTACTCCATCAAGCCTCCTTGATGTAGCGGCTCGTGGCTGAGATATTTTATACTACAACTCATGAATTTTCGTGAGTTTTTACATGCAATTTTAATAAATAATTTCAGCTCTAAATGAATTATTAAATTCATATATTCTTGAGGATATGTAACACAACCTTGTGTAAAAAGAGTTGAATGGCCTCTTAAGATAATCTCAATAATAATGAAAAGAAATTTGGTGGCATTTGTATCCCAGAATCATCCACCAGGCAGATAGGATTCTAAAGGTGGCCCTTATAAGTTCAAGTGGTGACTCCCTCCATGTAGCACTTTATCCCATATAGGATTCAAGAGGTGGCTCTCATGACATAACATTTTATCTTGTATTGCACTTAGTTCCCATATTCTAGCTAGTGTATTTCTCTGATATCATTTGTAATATCTCAAACTCTTAACTATTGAGATATTGTCCGCTTTGACCTAAGGGCCTCACAATATTGTCCTGTTGGTGTAACGTCCCAGGAGGTCATCAATCCCAGGATTTCTCCAGGATGAGCACGCTTAATTGCGAAGTTTCTAAATGAAATTCCAACCATTACATCATTACATCAAAAAGTGTCTCGATGTTCAAGAGCTTAACTTCTTTTATTTAAGGGTTTTCACAATCACTCATACTTAAGTAACTGACATCCTCGTCAACATACGTATCCCAAAATCATCCACCAGACATATAAGTTTTAGAGGTGATCCCTACAAGTTCAAGTGGTGACTCCCACCATGTAGCACTTTATCCCATACAAGGTTTAAGAGGAGTCTCCTATTGCGTGGCACTTTGTCTTGTATGACACTTAGTTCCCATCTTTCAGCTGGTGCATTGCTTTAATATAATTTGTAACAACCAAACTTTTAACTTTTGAAATATTATTCGCTTTGACCTAGGGGCCTTGCATTTTTGTCTTGTTGGTGTAACTTTCAAGGAGGTCACCCATTCCAAAATTTCTCTGGGATGAGCAAGCTTAACTACGGAGTTTCTTAAAAAAAAAAAAAAATCAACTATTACACCAAAAAGCTCCTCGTTGTTTAAGAGTTTAACTTCATTTACTTAAGGGGCTTCATAGCGGGCACGGGGGAGAGGGGAGCGTTGTAAAGGTTAGAGAAGTGACGTATTAGAGCAGTGAAAATTCCTAGTGAGAGAAAAAGGTGCAAACAGAAGTAGTAATCTCTTTGATCTTGTTGTAATTTTTCCTTAGGTTAATCCTTACTAAAGGAACTTCAAATTATCTTCACCCGACTCATCCACCTAGCCTTGGACCTTTGAGAGACCCAAGAGGTTACACAGTTGGATAGTCTATTGCTTCAAGAGGATAGAGAAGCATTAAGGGAGGGGTTTGAAGGGTCCTCCTCCATGAGGGAAAGAGGATTGAATTGCTGAGATTTCAGATCCACCAGATTAGCATCCAAACCCTTGGCTAATGCCCACCTTTCCAATCTAATTGAAGCTTTGATATCCTTCAAATATCAAACAATTTAAAATTACCAAATGAGGGAGCATTCAGATCGAGGTTGACATATAATAGAATTGTGTAAGCCAAATTAAATAGCTAAGGCTTCATTTGGGACATCTTTTTAATTATTTTTTAAAATAAAATTTTAATATAAAAAAAACTATACTATAAAGTTATTTTATATTACAGTAAAAAAGTTATTGCAAATAAAATCTAAGGCTTTGTTTAGGATGATTTTCTTACTATTTTTTTAAAATAAATTTTAAGCGTAATTTTTTTTTAAAATAGTGAAAAAACTGTGATAAAAAATTATTCCAAATGAAGCATAAAACTAACACATTTTTAAAGCTTAAATTTAGATATCATCTCAAATATTAGATGAGCCGTAGTATAAAAAATAATGGGTCAATGTTTTATTTTATGTCATTATATTAAGTTAAGGTTTTTAAAACCGAATCAGAACATCCATTCAATTGGTTGAACCGTGAATTGGTCAGCCGCCGGCCAGTTTGGTTCTATCACATAACCGGTCTCATAGGAAACCGACAAAAAAATAGTTAGGATCGGCGATCAAATCGTGGAACTGGAGAACCGGCGTCGGTTTTAAACAAATCGTGTGGTTCCTCAATCGGGCGTTGGACGTCGCCTTGCTACGTGTGGATCAAAACAAACTTCAATCCCTTGAGCTCGGACGGTTCATGATAGGGAGGTGGCTCATGATCGGGAGGTGCGGAACCCTTCGCCTAGGACAATTTGTGATAAAAAAAAAAAAGCCGCTTTACAAAGCAGTGAGAAAGCCGTCCCAAAGGAAGCCTTAGTTCGTTAAGTGAAAGCCAGAGCCGTTAAATCTTGAACTTAAGCTAGAAATCAGAATTTTTTACAACGGGCGTAGTTAAGTTGTAGTTTATAATTTCGTTCCTGAAACCTGCGTCTTCATTGTTTCTTCGGCAGAGCTGTTTTTTCTGCTCTATTACGGTCCAAAAGCTGAAGCTGCAATGCAACCATGTCGCTGGCGCCGTGTCTCTTTTTTATTCGTCGACAGAGCTCGGTCTCCATGGCCGCCGCTCTTCAGAGCTTTATCGATTCCAGCTCCCCATCTCAAGGAAAACCCATCCATGCCCACATCATCAAATCCGGGCACCACTCCAGTACTAGCATCTCCATCAAACTCCTCATTCTTCATTTAAAATGCGGTTCGTTGAACAACGCTCGCAAGGTGTTTGATGAAATGACAAAGCCGACTGTCTCTGCTTTTAACTACTTAATTTCTGGGTATTTCAGGGCTGGAATTACTGAAAAGTGCCTGGAACTTGCTAGAAAACTTTCATTTTCTGGGGAGAAGCCTGATGGTTTCACCTTATCCATGGTTTTGAGGTTGTCTGCAGCTATGGTTTCATTTAATCTTGCAAAACAGACACATTCCCAGATCATTAAATCAGAACTCTGGTACGATGACTTCTTGTTTGCAGCTTTGATTGATTCGTATGTGAAGAATGGTATGATTGGATATGCTAGAAGCATCTTCGATGCTTTGCCAAGGAGGAGTCTTGTTTGTTCTACTGCATTGATCGTAGGCTACATGAACCAGAATTCTTTTAAAGATGCTGAAGAGGTCTTCAGATGCCTAGTCCAGAAAGATGATGTTGTCTATAATGCAATGATTGAAGGTTACAGCAAACTTGTCGAAAAAGCTTCAAGATCGTTTGAAGTTTATAAGGAAATGAGATTTGAAGGCTATAAGCCGACGATTTCCACTGCTGTGAGTGTGATTGGAGCTTGCTCGCTCTTATCGGTAATTGAATTTGGGCAGCAGTTACATTGCCAAATTATCAAGACTTGCATCTACTGTCATGTTAAAGCTGGGAGTGCGCTCATAGACATGTATGGCAAGTGTGGTGGGGTGGAGGATGCTAGGAAGATCTTTGATAGCATGCAGGAGAAGAATGTTTTCTCATGGACTTCAATGATCGATGGCTATGGAAAGAATGGAATATCAGAAGAGGCTCTTAAGCTTTTTAACAAGATGAGGACTTGTTCTGATGTCAAGCCCAATCATACTACTTTTCTTAGTGTTCTATCAGCTTGCGGGCATGCAGGTTTGGTGTCAGGTGGCAAGGAGATATTCGAAAGCATGGAAAAGGATCATGGTCTGCAACCTAGAATGGAGCATTATGCTTGTATGGTGGATCTATTGGGGAGGGCTGATCGTCTTCTTGAAGCTTATGATTTCATTAAAAGAATTCCTGAGAAACCAAATTCTGATGTTTGGGGTGCTTTGCTTGGGGCAAGCAGGGTTCATGGCCATGTTGCCATGGCAGATATTGCTGCAATGGAGCTCTTCAAGTTATGCAGAAATGAGAGGCCAGGAGCTTACCTTGCTTTGTCTAATACCTTTGCTGCAGCAGGTAGGTGGGATGGTGTTTTTAGAGTAAGGGAAATGATGAAGGAGAGAAGGGTCTCTAAAAATGCAGGATATAGTTGGGTTGACTCGGAAGAAGGTTTGCATGGCTTCCACTTTGATGAAATAAGTGGACGATCCGCTTTATAATGTTGGAGTCTCCTTGACATAAAAATTAAATTTTTGTTACTGGTTACCTTTTAAAAGCCTGATTGTTTCTTCACTCTTCTTCCACGAAGTAACAACTGGCAGTGTTTTGTTTATTATGAGAAAAGGTAGATTTGTCCACGAAGTAACAACTGGCGGTTCTTGAGCTTTTTTGAGCTCTGCTTACAAGAGAGAGAGAGAGAGAGAGAGAGAGAGAGATTTGGAGGAAAATCTATCATAAAGCTTTATTAAAATTTTCCCCAAATTATACATCAGCCTATTCACTCTATTTATAGATATTTACATGGATAAGATGTCAATGCAGATCAATCTAATATAAAACCTGGATCAACACCTAGCAATCTCCACCTTGATCCAAGTTTTACAATCAAAGAATCATCTCTGCACCTACTGTGATCTAACTATCTTCATGTACTAACTCCACTAGCAATCTCATCAAACCGAGCTCAATTCCGCTCGTGAACTACCTCCCTCGTGTGTTCCAGACCTCAGCTCCAGCTCATGCTCCAGCACTGAGTCGCCAGTCTTCCTCGGACACACATGTGGACTCCAACTTGCGAGCTCGCACTACACCTGTCTAATTCTGAGTTCGCGACCAACCTGTCGCACAGGTTCTTGATTTGATCCACTGCTCCGACACAACAACCAAAAGACCCTCCTTACGGATCAATCCTCAAATTGACTCAAAAGCTCCGCCTCAAATCTGAATGGATCTTAATCAAGAAATGAAAGAATTTTGAATCTGAAACGGCCTGCCTCACCATAGTAATCAACGCACCATGCATCAACCATAACCAAATCCATGCCCTCAATGCCCTCGCTTCCTCATGGCTTCGCTGCTGCGTTGATTACTATGGCGAAAGCTCAGATATGCATCACCTGTGGTGTTAGCAACAGTTCGAAATTTTTGTGGTTGTAGCAACAGTTAGAGCTGTCGGGAAGACCCCTGAGGTGCGAGATAGCATGCGATATGTTGAAGTAGTTCTTTTGGAACCACTGAAAATACATAAAATTTTAGCAGTAGATAACGGATCTAAAGGGTGGCTTATCTGAGCTTTTGGCATCACCTGGATGCCCTTGGTAGAAGGCTTTGCCGGAGGGTCCAGTAAATACAAGCCGGATAAGAACACCAGCGTTCATAGCCTTTGCACCGCCGCGGCCTTCAGCAACATACTCTGCAACCCATCCAGCCGCCACTCCAACACCTGCCGCACCTGTCAATCGCGTCCGATTTGAAACCGACCTAATGTCCAACCTCCCCTCCTGTCTACCTCACGCAAACAGAATGGAGACCTACTTCCCCGGCGTGTCTCAACGGCAGCTTGCTCGGCTCCTCTCTTTCTTGACTACAAGAACCTTTCATCTTTCTTCCTCAATCTCCTCAACAAGGCTCTGATACTAGATGTTATGATCTTAATGAGGAAGAATCCCTTCCTTCATAAGCTTCTTGGAAGAGGAGGGAGAGAGGGAGAGAGATGAACTCAAGTATTTTTTTTTCTTTGCAGCGCTCAACAATGTCATGTCATTGTACCATTATATGGAAAAAAAAAAATTTCTGAGGCAAGGCCATCGAACCAAAAGCAATTGAAGACCCCTTGGAACCCCCGACGAACTCAATCGATAGAATTAAGGTCTGAGTTAACAGTACAACTTGATTGATCGATACAATTAAAATCCACACAAAACCAATAGGGTCCCTTAATAAGATCGTTGTCATCATCAAAGGGAATGGAGTTTAGGCAATGTGTTCATAGATCGATTTGATCTAACTTGAGTTGATTGATTCAGATGACATCCAATTCCCAATAAGCCCGTTTACCACATTTGAACGTTAATAATTTCTTGATCATCAAACCAAATATTGATGGCGGGGCATGACCAACCTCTCTAACTCTACACTCTTCTCTTGTTCGTGGTTGCATCCGTAGCATTGTACATTCCCCTGCACTAAAAATTTCCACCACTCGTTGCTGTCTCGTTCCTTTCTGCTCATTCTTTGAATGAGCACATGATATACATACCTTCACTATAAAATTCAAAAGCCACCAGCTTTTATACAACAAATTACATTTACAAACAAGTTTTAACACCAAAACGTTTAAAAAGTTCATCGCAGAACCAAAAAAAAAAGTAAAAAAAAAATGCCCAAAACACAAATTGAGAGGACAAGCAGGGGACAAAAAAAATGAAACTTTAGACAATAAATCTTCAATTATTTTTCTCCGTAACTATTGAGAAGTCCTTGGCAGTCTGAACTCAGACCCGCCTGGCATTGCCAGCTCTGCACCCGCCGGAGCAATCCCGGCGGGTTGATACAATGGCATAGCCGTTGGATTTCTCATCAACCCTCCGCTGGTCACAAACTCGTATGCCTCACCTGGAACCGGGTACTCGTAAGGCGCGCCGACCATCTGGGTCCCACCAACATAGACCGGACCACCGTGAATCGGATTCCCCACAACCCCTTGAACCGGCTGTCCATAGCCACCCGGAGCCTGCCCACCGCCGCTGGCCTGGTGAGACACAAATTGGAATGGCATCGGCATCGGCATCGGCATCTGGACCTGCTGGACCGGTATGCTCCCCGCAGGCATCATCGGTCCGGGAACATAGTAAACTGGCATCGGTTCAGGTACAAACTGCCAACCCGGATTCGGAACGTAGCTGGTTTGGCATTGAACCTGCGGTTCGACCGGGATATCATCGTCTAATTTCTGTCCGGGTTTGGTGATTGCCGGTTCAGATAAGGAGAGATTTTCCAGACCCAGACTCATCTGCCTGGCCCCAGCCGGCGGCGTTTCGTCGGAGTTATTATCTAAACCGAAGAGGTAATCCGGGACCTCGGAGATGATTGAGGACGCCTCGGAACGGCCGCGCTCAAGAAGCGACGGCGGCGTTGCACCGGAGCCGTTGAGCGCGTCGAAGAACCAGTCGTCGCGCTTAGAGCCGCCGGAGCGGTCGAGGATGGAGCCGAAGGCTCCGGAGGAATCGGCGGCGTTGTTGAAGAGGAAGAGGCGGAGACGGGGGGTTCGGGAAGAGAAGAGGCGATCGTATTCATCCATCATGTTTTCAACGTCCTCGTCGGAGGTGAGAGAGATGAGGGCTTCGAGGTCCTCGTTGGGAAGCTGGTACTTGACGGAGAGTTGGTCGACGGGGACGGAGGAGCCGGATATTTTGGAGAGCTTGGAGAGGAGGGTTGAGAAGGATGCGAAGCGGGGGATGGCGACGATGCGTGTATCGCCGCCGACGTAGCGAAGCTGGTGGTCGTGAGGGCGAGGGAGGATTCGGCCGCCGAAGCTGCACATCAGTCTGATGCGGTGGCCGGCGGCGGTGGGAGAGACGGATGAATCGTCGTGGTGCCTGCGGGATGGCGGCGGCGGCGGGTGATCGGACGTCGTAGTGGTGGTGACGAAGCCAGCGCCTAGTTCCGACGTCATATTCATATTGCCCGCAAGGCGATCCTTCAAAACCAAATGAAAATAAGTTAATAATAAAATCATTATATATATCTTAAAAATACACGTAAATATCACCATTATACCCAAATTTTAATTTTAGAATAAATTATTTGATATTCTTTTATATTTATGAGCTGTTTATTACATTCCAAATATTATGGGCATAGCAATTCCTCAACATGTTGGATGAAACCCTGAATCCTGGAAATAAATTGGCATTAATGTCATTCCACATAAATGGCCCCATCAAAGAATAGTTCCTATTGTTATTTTAAATAGGAGCACCTTAAAATTTGGATAAAATTTCTCATAGATCCATACAACAGCTTTGGTGTTGTGATTTGGTCCAGCATTAGATTATGTTATTTTTTAGTTTCATCGTACTTATTCTACTGTATAAGTAGAGGTTTGGATTCTCGATAAAGGTGGGGGAAATAAAAAAATATTCAATTCTATTTTTCCTCCATATCTGAGATCTCCCTCCCTTCCCTCTCCCTCCCTCTCTCTCATTCAAGAAGCTCAAGATGCTTCTTCTTCCTCCAAAAAAATTCATAACAATTGGTATTAAAGCCTGATGGAGGCAATCTCGACGTGGAGGAAAGTTCTTGTAATCAGGAAGGGGAGGAGGTCAATACGGATAGGAGCATAAGCTGCAAGACCAATTGGCAAACTGCATGTGAAGCGAAAGCGGGCCAGTGGCAAGGTCGCGCAGGCATGGATCATGAGTGAGCACGGTGCATCACACAAGCTCTTGGGAGCCATGACGCAGGCGTGTACGTACTATTCACGCAAGTTCTGAAAGTAGGGCGAAAGCATGGGCTCATTCGCGAGCGCAAGAGGTGTGGGCTTATGCTGGACGTGCACATGGATGCTCGCAGGGCTACGAGGCGTTGGACAGACACGCGAGGGCTGAGGTTGTGTGCAATATGGACACACACGGGTCAGCATGGGCATCACGTGAGCAAGTCGCGTGGGTTTGTGGGCTTCTCACAAGTGCGGGAGTTCGAGCTAAGTGAGCTATATGCGGACTTTTCGCGAGCTTGGTGATACAATTCACGCGGGTGCCAGAATTCTTGATTTAAGAAGCACGAAGCGGCCTGGTGCCGCAAGCCTCGATTGGGAGGTGAAGTCGTCAAACATGCAAACCGGACAGGAGGCCATGGATCTGGAGGTGCAACATGTTTGTTTGGTCTGGCTATTCGTTGTAAGAGGGGAGGATCTAAAGCCCTACTTATGTGTAACCTATGAGGAGGCAATAAGAAGGTTACAGACAATCCTTCTTGCTTGATTCTTGTTTGGTAGACAAAAGCAGGCGGAGGAGAAGAGGCAACTGGAGGGAAAATTTTGTTAAGCATTTAGATCAAGATAGAGATTGTTGTAATTTGATCCAATTTTAGGTTATATTGTTTCTTAGGTTCATCTGAGCTACTTATAGCATTATAAGTAGAGGTTTGAATTCTCTATAAAGGTGGGGAAAAGGAAATAATATTCACTTCTATTTTTCCTCCCTCTCTCTCATACAAGATGCTCAAGATGCTTCTTCTTCCTCCAAAAAAAAAATCCCTAACAGTTATTTGCTCCGATATGAGATTTGATAATGAGCTTATGTTGCATATATCTTGCAGCAACAAGTTAACCATGCATACCCTTATCCATACTGGCAGCTTGTTGCTGTTTAAAAGCCTTACTTGGTCAAAAAGGTAGTACACTGTCACTCACAAGTTTGGCACCCATAGAAGGATTATATGATGGAGAAATGGGAACATCTAGGATCCACAAGAGTTTGACAAAAACATTATCTTGATAGATAAAAGATGAATAAGGCTGAATTAATTATTAAGAAAATTTCTTTTCATTTCACATACTTTCAAAATATATCTAAGTTGTGGTTATATCCAATGAAGATGATTGTAGAAATCTGCATAGATTTATTCCTTACCATTTCAGAGTTTGTTGCATGCATAAGAGAACTTATTTATGCATCTCTACCAGCTAATCTTTTAAAACCTCACAATTATTTTGATCTAGTGAAATATCTTCATGGTTACTTGGGCCACATATCATATATTGATAAAACAACACACTTGTGTGAATCAAGGACCACACCGTCGTAGTCTACCTCACTAAGCATTTGATCAAATTATGAGGCTTTGGTGGCTACAAATCAACTTAGGGTTCGTAGTTGCAACTTTTTATAAAGTTGATTATAAAATTATTGTAGAAAAAGCAACTTTTTTTAAAGTTACTATATAAAATAGCTTCATGGTGATACAAAAATTTCTTAAAAGCAGCAACAAAGCCGTGACCAAATAGAAATTATAGTTATTATCTAAAAAATAAAGCAAAAAAAAAAAGTTATTACAAATGAAGCCTTAGTCATTTAAAACCCTCTCCTAACTATTTGAGGTTTGCTTCATCATCGCCGAGCAAAACAATGATGCAACTAATTTGATCGGATACTAACAAATGAGAGTCATGACTCATGCTATTGAATAGGTCCTTAATGATTGTTCCCATTATAAATGAAATTCATGTGGTTGAATCGTGTCAAACTCATCAGATAAAAATCTTATTATTTCTACACATACAATCTCGGTCATATCTTGAAATGGAGATGGATTTGTGGCCCACAATGGGTGACCCCATTTTTGTTCGGAGGGGCTTCTAATCAGTAAAAGATTTAAGACTTCAACTCTTAAAAATCCTATGGAAACCATACGTTGAAATAAACAAAGAAAAATTTACAAATAATTACAGGAAATCCTATCAACAAATCAAGCTGAAAAGCCACAGAGATTGTGATAAAAAAGAAGAAAATAACAAAAGATCAAGCACAGGATGAAATAGAGAAAGGAAGGAGAGGGCAAAGGAGAAATTAAATGATAAGATATGTAACTCTTCTCTCCGGTAAATAAAAATCCTAGAAGATTTTGGATGAATTATTTTACTTACTTGGTCGGGCACTTCTGCTTCTCTGGTTCGTGAGTTTGACAGAGACAGAGAGAGAGGAGAGGAGAGGAGAGGAGAGGGAATACCTGTGTGGGCTCTTTTGTGCGCAAAAGGAAGGAAGCAATAAAGTAGGTTTTGGCCGGCTGGCTGACGCGAAGATGGACCCACTTCCACTTAAAATATCGTGCAGCTGATGTGGCAGATTTGTTAGCGCCTCTCATGCCATTTTCATGGGGGGCCTTGCGCACTAAGTAGTGTCAATATTTAACACGATTCGAAATTTGATCCGGACCTGACCGGAAAAATTTGGATTCTGTTCAACCTATTTGTCATACAGGTCGGGATTCAATAAACAGACCTATTTCAAAAATCGGGTCGGGTTGACCCAGAAATTCGAAAGTGACATGATTTGGCCCGCCAGTCCTCGCTCGTGACAGCTCTCCAGTCTCTGCCAGTTCACCATCCACCTCTGCAGACTCCCACAGTGAGCGCGCTCGCGACCGCACAAAGCAGGTGAGGCTGCCCAGTCGAGGTCGCCCAATTACCTTCTCGTTGTGGCGCCATTTTGACTTCCTCACTCAGGTTTGCACAGACCACACCCAACAGCTAGCACCCAAGCACATTGTTCTAACTCCCGTAGTCCTGCCGTCCTGCTCTCGCCAGATCGCGCCTGCACCGAGCACACGCCTAGTTCGCACAACACGTTCTCCCTCTGTCACGACCCAACCCGACCGGGACGGATCCCGCTCGCATCGGGTCGTGCCCAAACTCAAACTGACTGAACTGATTCCAGGATCTGGCTTTGGAATCTGTTTCAGAACTTTCTTCCAAACATTTACACACAGAAACAGACACACAGAGCTACTATAAACATCAAAATACAGCGGAACGGATCATCTATCTTGAACAGATTCCCTGACACCTGACAGAATCTCTCGGATTCTGGCCCCTTATGCCTCCCTTTGTGCTCATGGCACCAGAATAGATGTGCTTATAGCACAAGAACAGAACTTATCATCAGATCATGAACAGAACTTATTTTCAGATTTCAGAGCTCATTTCAGATTTCCCAGACACAGACAGGATCTCACAGGATTCTGACCCCTTATAACTCCCTTTTTATAGCGCACAATCATATCATGTCATTTCAGAACAAATCCGGACAATTTCAGAAATCGTATAAAAATCCAGCGGCATAACGGTAGTATACGGAATTTACACAAAATTCACAGATTCAGAAATTTACCAAATTACCACAGAACATGCACAACAACATTATAAGACTTTCATTCTACTGCCTAGACAATTTCAGACATCATCAGAAATTACAGTCAAAAGAAAACACCGCCGAATCAAAACTATCTGGTCAAAATTCTCCATAAAATAATTAAAACGTGCGTACTCAGCACCTTAGAAACATACCAAAAGTTACGCGGTAAAAACTGAACCAATCGGAAAATACGGTCGAAATTCGCTAACGAAAACGAAATCCGAACAGAAAAATCGTTCAAACTTCACCATTCTGAAAATTGAGAAAGGCGAAATGTGCCTTACTTTGCGTACACCAATTTCTTGAACTGTCTCGACGGATGAAAACGGACCGGCGTCGCCCAAAAATCAACTTTTTCACTTTTGCCCTCGACTTTCTCTCTCCTCAAAAAGATATTTTATAAATCAGATTTTTCTCTCTCTTCAAAACGAGCTGATTTCTGTTAAATAAGCTTGAGATCGGCCCGGCCGATCGCACGGTCGTCCAGGACGATCTGAACAAAATCACTTCGTCCTGGGACGATTTCTCAGGACGATAATTAATTTTCTTGGACGATAAAAACCCCTACTCTCTGACTTTTGCATTGCTCTGATCGTCCCGGGACGATCCCCAATCGGCCCGGACGATCCTGGGAGGAAATTTTTCTGTAACTTCTGTACACATTCTGGAACAAAATTTCAACTGATCGTCCCGGGACGATCTACGATCGGCCCGGACGATACTGGAGCAAAACTGATGTTACACCCTCGACCCTAGAAAATCAGGATCAGCGGGTCGGGTTGGGGACTGAAGTGTTGACCCGTTTACAAAATTGGGTTGGGTTATGATCAACCCGTTTGAACCCAGCTCAATCTGGGTTCGACCTGAACCAAACCCGTGAACTCATTTTGACACCCCTACCACTCAGCTCAATGTTTTTTTTTTTTTCATACGTTGCATATTATTATAGATACAAACAATGCCAAATTTTCTCAAATCTTTTGCAACAAAACACGATATATATATATTTATATATAACAAAAAATTCTCAAAATAATCTCAAATTATTTGTGTATTACCAATTTTATCTCAACATATCAGGTTGCCAGAATTTAGTTCCTTGACTATATAAAATTGATTCAAAATAATTACACATATTGTATTTGTAATAAAAGATTGTCCTCTATTTAATTTCAAATGGATCTTAATGTAAACCAATAAGTGTAACACAATAAAGTTCAATCCAATAGCTACAACACATCATAATGATAAGCATTAAATCATTGCATAATTATATATAACACATCATAATGATAAGCATTAAATCATTGCATAACTAATATATAATATTACCATAAAAATTACATTAAATTAAAGCAATTACAAGGTTATTATTATAATAATAATTGTAAAACAAAAAAAATATTATAAAGGTTGTGGGCACTTCTCCCTACAAGGAACTTGATTATGGTCATTAACTCTACATCAATTGCACATATATATGTTACACTGCATCTTTCTCCTACTTTGAAGGCCTTTTATTTTCCTATAGCATAGCCATTATTTTATTTCCAAATGAGGGTAGCATAACTCTAATTATTTCATCTAGAATCTCTTATGTGTTATATTTTTTATTGAGTATATAATTTAGTATATACAATTAATCATGCTTACATGTAAAATTTTGAGCATAAACAATAATAACGAAAACCCTAATTCCAAATTGTAATCAACACATGTTCACATAAAAAAAATGTTCACATAGGTGACCCATGATATTAAACTTCTTGTATTTACATGTCCTCTCCGCAAATCACCATTAAAATCATTATTAGGACATGTTATTTAAATTGGGTAATGAGGAAAACAATTAAATTGTGAAACCCCTTAAATAAAAAGAAACTGATTTCTTAAACATCGATCTTCTTTTTGATATAATGATTGGAATTTCATTAAGAAATTCCCAAGATAAGCGTGCTTATCCTGAAGATATCATGGGATGAGTGATCACCTGAAAAGTTACAAAAGCGGGACAAAATTATGAAGCATTTAAGCCAAAGCGAATAGTATCACAATAGTTAAGAGTTTGGGATATTACAAATGGTATCAAAGCAATACACCAGCGGTAAGATGGGAGTGTTTGGGCTGTTACAAATGATATCAAAACAATACATCAGTCATAAGATGTGAACTAAGTGTCATACACGACAAAGTACTATGCCATGGGAGCCACCTCTTGAACTCTCTGTAGGACAAAGTGCTACGTGGCGAGAGTCACTACTTAAACTTGTAGGGGTCACCTTTAGTATATTATCTGCCTTGTTGATGAGTTTGGGATAAAGTTACATAAGTGAAGGAAACTGTGAAATCCCTTAAATAATAATAAAAAAAACTCTTAAACATCGATGCACCTTTAGGCGTAATGATTGTAATGTCATTAAAAAACTCCGCAGTTAAACGTGATCATCCTGGAGATGATAGATGACCTCCTGGGAAGTTACAACGAGACAAAATTGTGTGACCTTTAGGCCAAAACGAATAATAAATCGATAGTTAAGAGTTTGAGATCTTACACAAACTTTAAGCCTTATTCATGAACTTCCTTAAATTTTTTTTTATTTTTTGCCAAAATATTTTTTACTTTCATGAAAAGTAAATAATTTCAATACTCATTGTAATGATGTGTTTATCGAAGAACTATTCTTGTATTGTCCATCTTAAAAACTCCAATAAAAGGTAACTTAAGAAGTGCATGTGTTCTTGGAAACATTATTGAAGTCCTCTAAAATATTTGATTCCATCAAGTTATATCAATTTCTAGAAAATAATGCACAAATCCATCGCTCGAGTCCAAAATGTCAATACAACTCAACACTTCCATAAGCTTTGCAAGCCAAATGATATTCCTAGCGACAACGATCAATTTTAAACTTCATCGTGATATTCATTGCAATATGGTGAGTGATATTTCTTGCATGCTTTAGAAAAAAATAGTTAATAAATTATTTGGTGATACTTTTATTGTTCATTAGAGGTAAACACTAAGTTTTCCACTATCATTATTGATAGTCTAGTTATGAAATATATCCACAACTTTTTTTTTTTGGAGTCAACTAGTGCAAATGGCACTAGATAAATATGATTATTGGCATCTTGTGTTATTGCCAAGAGTAAATTAGCTCTATAGCATATACTTGGATATATTCATCCACACTTGGCACTAGGTAATACACACTTTTTAAAGCATTGAATACAAATACTTAAACATACTTTAAACATCATGTAAGTGTTAGCATCTTAATTAACCATGATTAAATATGGTTTGAACAATGCTTAAACATCTTAGAACCATATTCAATCATGGTTCAAATAAGACTCAAACATATGTTCTAACAATATTCAAAATAATCTTCTTGATATTTTCTCTAACTCAGGGTTAGAGCTCCATCAAAATAACCTAATTCTTTTGGATCAAATGTTACATTATAAAATATGTAAAGAAAAATCTTAAAAATATCTACTTAAGTTGTTGTTCTTAAAATGTTTTTTTTCTATTTATCTTTATCTTCATGATCATTTTAATCTACTGAGTGAAAGCGACAGAGAAAGCAAAATGTATAAAGGAAGAACATTATTAATTTTTCCTATACATTTGGGATATAATTATAGAAATTCCATTTTGATTCTAAATGAACTTCCGGGAATTATTCTCCACGAAAACAAAGAGGCACATTTCTTTCATTATAACTACTATGACGCATATAAAATCAAAATTCTCAATATAAAATAACGCATTTGAACGACATGCATACATTTGTTCTTGTTTTTAATGAACATAGGCAACCAACCAAAGGGTTTTATGGGAAAATTATTCTTAGACATTTCCAAAATTTCTCAAGCTATGACATATCTTGGTCAATATGGAATACCTTGAGTGAAAGACACTTTCTCATTTGCTAACCCACATTGCAATCTCCCATGCATAAATAAACTCACAATCTTGTCCCTCCACTGCAAGAGAAATTACTATGTGTGGTCATCAAATATTTTCTGGAAGCGAATCAAGATGCGACACATTACCATTTCGTTGTGTATCGGTGTTATGTACCAGTGTACCGGGTGATATCGCGCATCCTGATTCGTCTCCGAATGATCCGGTAACCGCACGTAATAATTTCTCTTACTGCACACCCTTATTTGCAACTCACTAAGAACATGCATGCCCTTTGCCTTGTACAAACTCATCCATGGCAAGCTTGCACAGCAAAGTTTCCTTGGCGATGCCCATTATCTACATGTAATGTCCATGAATCCTTGACCTCTTATTTGCGAAACCTGCAACTTGTATGACATCAATAAGTCTTGATGCCTGGAAATAAATTTTAATTCAGGAAAATAAAAAATTGCAAGAGCTTATTTTACTGCAACCTAAAAAAATTGAACTTATGAATTTTTTCTGCAATGTTTCAATAGGTAAAACATTTCAAATATAATAAATTTATTTTACATTGTATTTTATATAAAGAAATTTGAAATACTTTTAATTAAAAAATGGAACCCTTAATTTAGCATCAAATAGGTCCGAGTTTCTGTCTCTGTGACATAAATTCGCCCCTTTAAAAATAAATTATTTTTTTAAAGAAAAATTTGGACAAATAATCCTTCCACATTCAATTTCTATTAATTTTAACGGGCGGCCGGGATATTTTCATTTTTTCACAAAATTTCGATGTTAATTACTGGTACGCCAATCTTCCAAGCAGACGGTCCGTATCAGTCTGGTTCTCCTGGACCAGAGAGTGTGCTAGACTTGAAGGAGATCATGTCCGCTATGTCTCGTCCGCTTGAGAGAAGTCCAGCGCCACGATGGGGTTCTCGCAATGCCTAACGGCGGCATGCTCGCCTGCCAAAGTGGGATTCATCGGCTTCCCATCGGAAGAATCGCACCACTGCCTAATGGCGTCAAGATTAGTTCCTGGCGTCGCAGGCTTGTGTTTCTGCCACCCTAAAATCAGCTTTCCGCGCTTGAAGGTGGCTCCTTTCCAGACTCAACCAAGCGGGCATCTCATTTGCCGAATGAAACGATCAGGTATTGACTTCTATTTCTCCCGCACTTTTTTATACTACTTGTAGGGTTTTTGATCTCTCGCTTGAGTTGTCAAAAACAGCTCTCTTCATAGCGTTTTGCTTTTTTGCGTGGGAAAATTTATCTTCGTAATTGTTTGATGAACGCTAGTTATTGGAGGCGAAGCCAGATTCCAATGAACCATAGCTTCTGGAGCGCGTTTTAGGGGTCGTTTGGTTGTTTGAAGTTAACAAATACTTTTTGAAAAACATAGAATTTGCTAGATTCGCTCATTTGGTTGGGTGCTGTCAAAAACCAGTATTGATTTTCTACTCTGCAAACACCTTCAAAATCTCTCAAAAGGCCGAACGCAGCCAGCCACGTCGCTTGCTTCAAGTTAACGATATGTCTTCTTATTGTGAACGATGCAGTGAAATGTTGTTTGCTCTTCACAACTTTGAGGGAGATGCCACTAAGGTCATCTCCAACGGAGAACTCTATTTTTCACGCCAAAATACCGCAAAAAGCAAAAATGGCTTGGTGCTGCTCCAATCGAACGCCATTTTTTTCTTAACGACCCTTCTCCTTTCCCGCATTTTTCGGTTGACAGAGAAAAACGTCACTGTTCACCCGCAAGCAAATGGAGGATTTTTTGGCGTTCGGCTGGAGCAAAGGAATGACGCCAAACGCTCGTTTGGAGATGCCCTAAACTGGTCTTCGCGTTTTCTTTGGTGAAGCATCACCTCTTTCTCCAACTTAAAGAAACAATTTATTACTCAATATGCTAGGATCAAAATTTGTTGAAGAACTGGCACGTTCTTTGAACAATGAGACATGTCATTTTAAGGGGTTCTTTAAAAACTTCCTCCTATCAATCATGGTTTTAACAGTTTTTGTGAAAAACTGGCTCAAAATCAGGATTTATCAAAACTAATTTTAGTTTAGGAGTTTTGCCTTCTGTTTCGGGATTTGTTTGTATTTAATTAGTAGACGACCAATTAGCTTCCTATTTTTACACCATAAAGATTTACTAATCACACCTGAATAGGATTTGTTAAAATTGGATTTATTTAATCAGACTTTGAACCAAACATGCTCTAAGTGAAAATAAAAGTATAACTTTTTAAAAAATATTTTCCTTCTACGAGCAACCAAACTAACTCTTAAGCATGGAAATCATTGTTTAAAAAATCATTTGAGGTATATGTGTCAAGTTGCTCCGTGATTTGAAGTGCATAAGGAGTGCCTCAAGGCTTAAGCCTCATTGTTACCGGTGAGGCTTACCCCTTTTTAAAATAAGGTGTCAGCTTGAGGCCTAATGCAAAGAGAACTTTTGAGAGAGTGCTTCATTCAAGTTAAATTTTCTTAATTTTTTATTATATATTATTATTATATATTTTATTCTATTATATGAAGAGAAAGAAGCGATTAACTATAGGATAAATTGTTTATGTTATGTTTAATAAAAAAATTAAAAGATGGACACATCAAATTATAGAGGCAAATAACTAGTGATGATTAAATGGATCTTTTTGTTGCTGATGATAGGTATAATATCTAATGATGAGTGGATAACATTAAAAGATAGTGAAATATTTGAAATTAAAGATGAAGAAATTGCCTTTAATGACAAGAAAATGAAAATATTAATGCTAATAAGGGCTGTTAAATTTGGGGTAGCTTTTATTTTATAATCATTTAAAGAATGAAGTAATATGGGATTAAAGCTTCCAAAAAAATCAAATGATAATTTAAGTATAATGGATTATATTATTATTTTATTAATGTATTGCTTTACTTTAAATTATATTGAATCTAATGATAACTGATACAGGGTGTTATTGAAAAATATTGTAATTGAAGAAGAATTTGAATATAATAATAAGACAAAATTCGAGGATTATAATTTTTGCACATGATGTATACTATAAAGAATATGAAAGTGAGGATGAAGATGCCGTGGATCCTGAACCTTGTAGCATGTTTAAGTTTTAAGTAAATGTTTACCATGAATCTCATTTTAAAATTTTGTTTTATAATAATATTTAATATTGTGATTTGTAGTTTATGTCTTTATGATGAAGAAATAAGTAAATATATTGATAATTTATTTTATTTTTGTCATTTTTATACAACAACAACAACTAAAGCAAAAAGATATGGGCTTAAGGCTGATCCTTGATGTAACCCAACCGAAATAGGGAAATACTTGGTCAATCCACCTTGTGTTTGAACACAAGTAATAGCTCTTGCATACATATCTTTAATGATTTTGTCATTTTTATGAATTATTTATAATTTTTTTATTATTATTTTTTATGTTTTTAGGCTCACGCCCCATCTCACTATGGCAAAACTCATTGATTCTTAATTTTACCCTTTTAAACCTTGATGGGAACTATAGTTTTGAGTTTTCATAAGAAGAAATGAACATTAATTTACTTTGTGTTTCGAAAAATGGTAATTATAAGTTGCCCCTTATTAGAAATTACCTTGTGTTTCGAAAATATACATATAACCTCATGCATAGGGGTCACACTTATATTTTTATAATATATGAGGCTCATGTGTTTCTTACTAATACTATTTGGGTTTATTTGTAATTAAACTTTCTTGCCAAATTAATTCTAAACCTTTAATCTTTAATTTTGCTTGTTTCAAAATATATATTATTGTAAATTTTACGACTGAGCTGGTTTTCATGATTTCAAACATGTTTATTATTTTTAAATGGGAATGTGAGTAAGCTACAAATAAAAGGAACTTTTTAAATTCTAGTGATCATATAACACACATCTTTATAATTTTACTGATTACTGGATACTAAAGTTGTTATTTACTTTTCAGAAATTGTGCCGCTCCTAAATGATGAGCGGTTTCTGTGGTTTTTTCAAATTGGTAATTTGGTTGCTTGTATTTGAAAAACATGTTTAAAAAAATGATTTCATTTTCGCTCGTTTAAAATGTGAACAAGAAAGCAACACTTTTGAGCGAGTTTTGTGGCTTGTGAAATCAATGTTAGATTCTAGCTACCACTAAACAAATGATAGATTTGTCAAACTTCTTTCATTTTTCAAGACAAAATTTCAAACTAAAAGCAAACAAATAAGCCGTAAGATGCTGTTGACATTCTGATGTTTCATGGCCATTGAAAAGCACTTGATAATTGAACTAATTTTTTAATCTTGTTCAGAGAATATAAAAATGCTCGTAATTGTCACTATTTTCAAATTTGGAAGGATAAAATTTGCTCCAAATTATCATTCAGGAAAGGCTTCCCTTGCTTTAACAAATTAAGAGGTGAGATTTTATCATAGCATCCTTTCCTTCAGTGCCTTTCATATTACTTTAGCTAGCAGATCTTATGCATGGACATGCTCTTCTATCCACCCTCGGAATGTCTATTTTTAATGAAAGTTTTGAAGTATTTGTTGTCAAAAAGCTACAATTTAACCTTATAGAAAATTCTTTATAGTATTCAAATTACTGTTATTTTTTTTAAAGCTACAATTTAATCTTATATTATCATATTCACGCACATTCCTTTAAACTCAATAGTTTTATGAGGTCATTCAGGATGGTTGCTTACCTCCAGTTTCATAATAACAAGTCATGACTTTGAAGCAAGGAGCTATGCTATATGCGGTTGGTAAACATGATAGTACAGTGATTCCTATCCAAATGTATTCTTCTATGCTATCTTGGTTCATGTAAGAAGTATATATATATATATATATATATATTAACCAGAAATATTTGCTTTTCTACTATGATTTTACTTTGATATATCTATTGTAGCATCAATCATTATGATAATTCTGCAAAACTAACCAGTTACATCAACAGGCGATTGCCTATGTTTACAGTTTTCCTAGAATCTTCATTTCATTCATTGTGATGTGATTAAAGATTTATCTCAAAGTTTTTTTTCACATAAATAATATTGCTGCTATTTGCAAGCAAGCATAATAGTTCTATTTTATCAGAAAGGGGTTTCTGTCACTGTTATTTTATACTGTTGGTTGTACAAGTTCTTTGAAACATTTTTTTTTTAAATTTCAAGTAGATATTCTGTCGGATCTTGAGCTTGGGAAACCTGAAGGAAGAAGAGGGCCATATAGACGTGTAAATGGAATATTTTGGATTTTACTTCTCAACATTGGCATTTTTGCGGCAGATCACTTGTTTCTGGTACTTCATGAGAGTTTCCAATACCATTTTTTTAATTTTTCTTTGGTAGTGATCATCTCTGTTCAAGACCTTTTGTTGATAAACTTCTTTGATTACCTTCATCTAGTTGGAAAAAACATACGCATGAACAGAGTAATACTGCACAAACCTCAAAATAGAATAAATAAAACTGTGCGGGTTGGTGAGATTGACCCGCCTACAATTACCACCGTTCAAAGAAAAAATTCTACTATAATTGAAACAGTTGATACAAAAAAATGTATTTTTTCAATCTGATCACAATAATAAGATATTTTATGGCACAATCACACTTGCCTCTTATGGTAGTGTTGATGTTGAGTGTAAGGTTTCTAATATATATCTAACATGTGATGTGAAAAATCTACAAATTCATAAAATTTCATTTAATGCATTATATTAATAAAAAATAACTGTTAGCCACTTTTATTAAAATCTATGATACACTGACACTTCTCCTTAATGAGATATTCAGTGTCCGACACGTTTCAGTCACGACACACATTCGACACACCTTCGATACGTATCGAATATGCCGAAGGAGTGTCCTTTAAAAAATATTAAAAATAAATCGGACACGCATGTCTTAAATATTTTATGAATTTTTTAAAATATAATTTTCTATATTTCAATTTTTATTTATTAAAAAAAATTATTTCTTCTCACAACCCCAAATCAATTTTTCGTACTCAATACTTCATTCACTAAACATACCACTTTCATTTCTATCTGCAGATCGCAGTTAGGGTTTCACAAAAACATCCAATGCCATCACAACATCGACTTCCGACGCTGTCACAACATCAATGTTTCAAAACTATCTGAAAATCAAAGTTTGATGCTAGCAATTTCTATCCCCACAATCACACTGTTGCATTGTCTCAACATCTCATCTTTGACCAACATCATCTCAACATAGACGAGCGACATTGTGTCGACATTGACACTCGATGCTCAACTATTGACAATATTATCGTATCCTCTCTCGACACCTAAAACACAACATCGACGTCTAACTCTTGACATCGTAATATTCATCATTTTACGCACAAATCCTAATTAAATGATTTATTATTTCTCAATTATTCTTAATATTCTACTTACTATTTTTAAGATATAAAAATTATAATGCCATGTCCAACTCGTGTTTGTGTTCTATATTTTTAATAATTGACGTGTCCCATGTCTGTGTCGTGTCCGTGTCTGTGCATCATAGATTAAACTCAACGCATAATATAAATCAATTCAAATGATAGATCTATAATTTTATAATAAAAATCAATGATGTAATGAATGATTAAAAAGAATCAAACGCACTAATAAAATTTATGCCATTGTATGGATCTGGATTATAACAAATATGATTAGACAATCTCATTTTCACCGAAGTTAAAAAAAATTAGATGAAGAAGAAAGAGGATAGAAAATTATGAAGAAAAGATATCAACAAATGAACAAGCCTTAGGTTTGTACGAGGAGGAATCTCCTCTTGGAATTCCTGAAGTTCCGCATTCGATCAAGGATTAAAATTTTGAAAGTAAAAGAATGATACGCAGATCTTTGTGATATTGTATTAAGCTATTCCATGAATCTTATGCATTCTATGACAAAATAATTTTCATGACTTCAGCAACAATAATTTGTACTTAAGTTTCATACCATAGATTAAGAGTAGGCTTTTAAATACCGTGCTTATCTGGAGAAAAAATAGCCTTACGAAAATCAAAAGATCCATAAGCGAATGCATGTTGATGAGACTATGTTTCTTTTACATTCTGTTCATTCGTTTGATTTTGCATTATATCCTTATGTCAAATAGGAACATTTGTCTCAACATTGTGAAAGATTTAAAGTATTTGATGTGCAGTAATTCTTCTATGGCATGCTAGCAAGAAGCTTTTGCAAAATTCTTTTTCTTCTATCTAGGGCTACAAACAAATCGAGCAGGTTTTTGTTCATATTTGAGCTTGTTTATTATCTAATTGTTCAAGCTCGATTTGAACTTTTCTGTTTGTGTTCAAACTTGATTCATTTAAAATGATAAATGTTCATAACTTCATATCTTATTTATTTCGTGCTAATCGAGTTTTAAACAAAAGAGTCTTATCAAGCTATCAACGAGATTTATTTTCTAGATATTTATATTAAATTGTTCATGATTTTTGTAATGAGATTTAATCGACCCTATATCAATATTAATCGAGTTTCTTAACAAGCTCGTTCATGATCTTTGTATCTAATGTGAATTGAGTTTTAAACGATGTTGTTCATGAACATAAACGTGTCGACCACGTAGATGTTCAAGCTTGTTTATTTAATTGACGAGTATTTAAAAAAATGTTCAAGCTTCTTTAATTCCTTAATCAAACGATCACAAATTAGTTTTAATCAAGTTGAGCCACGAGTAATTTGTTGAATGTTTGATTCATTTGCCGCCCTAGTTTTGTCTTTGCTATGGCCTATGAGTTTGTTGGACGAAAACATGATTTGAGTACTGTATTTGTTTATTCTTTTCAGATCAGAGAGATCAAGTCCTTATACCTGTACCACAACAGGCCAGCTTGGTACCAGTTTATAACCGCAGCATTTTGCCATGTTAATTGGTAAGGCCGCTAAGCTTTTCAAGGTTACCTTGCAACCGTTTCTTTATCTACTTGCTTGAGAATTGCCTCAGCTCCATTCAAGTAATTTGAATAAGTGCGTCTTCTCTAAAGCACTGACTTCAGCATAACTTTGCAGGAACCATTTGTCCAGCAACCTATTCTTCTTATATATCTTTGGTAAGAGCAAAGCTGCCTAGTCTTTGGATTCTTCTGTTCATAATGTCTTATATTTTTCATTTAAATTTTTTTTTTGTATTATTTATAGGGAAACTTGTTGAAGAGGAGGAGGGTAATTTCGCACTGTGGCTTTCTTACATCTTAACAGGTGCCGGTGCCAATCTTGTCTCATGGTTAGTCCTTCCAAGGAATGCGGTATCTGTTGGAGCCTCAGGTGCTGTCTTTGGACTATTTGCAATTAGCGTCCTGGTAAAGGTATGTTAATCACCAATGAATGCATGGTTTAGATGACTGCTTGTTTAAGCGAATTAAATCACCATAATCATTATTGCAGATGTCGTGGGACTGGAGAAAAATTCTTGAAGTTCTTATCCTAGGTCAATTTGTTATTGATAAGGTGATTGATCAACTCGCTAGAAGATTATTTGTTTTTTCTATCATGAATCAGATAACTTACCTAAAAGAAATAATCTCCACTACCTCTGACAAGTTCATTTGTCAAAACTAAGTAACAACCAAATTGTATCTTAACCCTACACGTGTAAAAAGCTCTGCTATCTTATCTATATAAAAGGTAGCACAGTACTGTAGCTCATCGCATCATATATGAAAAGCTTTTGTAGAATGCCTGTTTTAGTGTAATTACCTAGGTTCTATCGGCACACTGCTGTATGAGCACTGCCTTCATGGTATCAAAGCAGGTTGAAACCAAAGTAGATTACTATTAACTGCAATGGCTCACTCATCATCTTCTCAGGGAGTAGAACATGCAGCGAAAACCTCGCAGAACCTGTACCCTTACCTTCTTCCCTCAAACGGGTTCTCTCAAACATCAAAATCATTGTTCCCATTTCCCTTTCCAATGACAACTATCCAATGTGGAGATCCCAAATTCTTAAGCTTCTGAGAGCCAACGGCTTCGCAGGCTATCTTGATCACATGGCAACCATACCTCTGCGCATCATCCAGCATCCCGACGGAACCACCACTCTGAATCCAAGCTACAATCCATGGCTACTCGTCGACCAAAACCTAGCAGCAGTCATCTGCTCAACAATCTCGCCATCAGTTTTTCCATACATTCGGTATCTTGACGGCTGTTCTGAGATTTGGAGCACACTATAGCAGCGACTTCAAGCCTCCAATTGTTCCAAAGTCATTCAACTAAAGAATGAACTACATAATATCTCAATGAAGAACCTCAACATGCAACTGTACCTTACAACAATCAAAACTTTGGTCGACAATATAACAGCTGTTGGTTCTATTGTTGATCCTGAAGATATCATTCTTTACATTCTCAACGGACTTACTCCTTCCTATTAGGCATTCAAGACTTCAATTTGCACAAAGCTAACACCCAGTCTAGACAACCTTTACTCGATGCTCATCAACAAAGAGATCAACATTGCTGCCGACTCATCTCGTGAATATCACTCCACCGATCCTCACACAACTTTATACTCATTCCGTGTTTGAGGCAGAGGATGCTTCTCTTCCAACTCTATCACAGGTGGTCGTCCAACTCAACCCTCACCCACGGTTTGTCAAATCTGCAACAAGAGGGGTCACTCTGCACCCCAATGCTGGCACCAACTCAACATCAATTACAACCCGGCTTCTTCTTCGACACAACCCAAGGCCTTGGTTGCAGACACACCATCCCCAACTCGTGACTGATACATAGACTCTTGCGCTACATCAAATCTCACAAATTCACTAGACAGCATAGTGCACCCAACACAATATCAAGGCTCGGACAACATCACTGTTGGCTACGAAGGTCATCTTCCCATCACTTATTCCGGTGCCGGTATACTTCCCACCCCTACCCGTAAGCTTTCTCTTCCTCATATCCTTCACGTTCCATATCTATCCCATAACTTTCTCTCAGTATCTAATCTTACTCATGACAACAATGTATCAATCTCGTTCTCTCCTTCCGGCTTCATCATAAAGGATCTGCGGGCTCAGACCACTCTGCTACAGGGCCCCTGTCGAAATGGCCTCTACTCAATTAAAATACCTACTCAAGCATCCTCCCATTCGCATTTGGCTTCCACATCGTCATCTATCCACCACTGGCACAACTGGATGGGACATCCACACCTTCAAGTCGTGATGGCAATCTCTTAGCAAAACAGAGACCTCGCTATCCCTACTTCTTTTTTCTGCTCTCATTTTAAGGCTTCTAAAATCCATAAACTAGTTTTTCCTACCGATAAACAGGTTTCAACTACTCTAATGTTACTTCACTCGAATGTATGGGGACCTTTCCCAGTTTCTCTCATCAAGGATACCACTATTGTCTTCTCATTGTCTATGACTTCTCTTGCTACACATGGATATTTCCCATTTCTCATAAATCAGAAGTCCCTAATATCATTATAAATTTCATCACATTCATTGAAAAACAAATCTCAGCCAAGACTAAATACATCCGAACTGATGGGGAAAAAATGTCCTAAACCACACACTTAAGTCGTTTATGCAAACAAACGACATTCATCATCAAATTTACTATTCCTACACTCCAGAGAAAAAATGGGAATGCACAACGCAAAAATAGGCATATAATTGAAACCACGCGTACCTGACTTCACGCAGCCCATCTTCCCTATCAATTTTGGCCTGACACAGCTCTCACAGCAATACATCTCATTAATCATATACTATCCATCATCACATGTTACGAATCTCCACTTCAACTTTTGTACAATCAAAAACCCGATTACTCTCACCTCAAAACATTCGGGTGTGCCTGCTATCCATGGTTACCACCAGTTCAACACCACAAATTAGCAGACATTCTTTCCAAGTTTGATCTTGGGGCATCACACTTCCTGGGCTACTCCGATTCCTACAAAGGCTATAAATGTCTTGATCTGGCCACCAACAAGATCATCATATCCCGCCATGTAGTATTCGACGAAGACTACTTTCCATACTCCTCTCCACCCCCTCCTACTACAATAGAACCTCACCACAATTCACAAACTGTCAATCCCCTTCTCCTAACCCCAACCTCACTTATACAACCCTCACCCAATGCATCAACCTCATCTACCACGGCAGCCCAACCTCCACAATCCACAGACGTACCAAACTTCACCAACGCCTGTCCCACATTCTCATTACCGTCCACTCCACCACAACCATCAGCCCCACCCATACACCTTCCTCATCCCATGGTTACTCGCCTTAAAACAAGTTCACTAAAACCCTGTACCATCCTCAACTTATTGCATACTATCACTTCATCTCAACCAACACATTATCGACCCTACGACATACTCAAAAGCTGCAAAATCCCCTCAATGGAGAGATGTCATGGCACTTGAATTTTTGGCTCTCCAAAAGCTAGGGACATGAACCCTTGTCCCACCCCCTCTCATGCCAATATACTAGGTTGCAGATCGACATATCGCACCAAATATCACTCCAATGGCACTCTAGCCCATCACAAAGACTGCCTCATTGCTCAAGGCCATTGTCAAGAACATGGCCTAGATTATCAAGAGACATTTAGCCTTGTGGCCAAAATCCCATCAATTCGCGTTCTTCTTACAGTTTCCCTCGATCATTCTTGGCAAATTCTTCAATTAGACATCGTCAATCCATTTCTTCATGGCGGCCTAAGAAACTATATATATGTCCCAATCTCGTGGCTTTGAAGGCACGTTGCATCCAAATCATGTATGTCTTCTCCACAAAGCCATCTACGACCTAAAACAAACTCCATGTCAATGGTTCAACACATTTTCCAATTATCTTCAAACTCTCAGTTTCCACCAAAACAAAGACGATCATTCTCTACTTATTCTCTCCAATAATCACATACAAATGTATCTTCTTATCTACGTAGATGATATTTTACTCACGGGCAACAATCCTTCAGTCATGTCTAAGTTTATAAATCTGATAAGCCTTCGTTTCACTATGAAACATCTTGGTACAACCGTACAACACATGACTTCTTAGGAATTCGAATACAACAGCTTCCTAACTCCTACTTCCTTTCTCAAGCAGCAGCATATGCCGCCTCTATTCTTCAGCAAGCTGGACTTCAGAACTGCAATCCTTTCTCTAATCCAGCCTCCACGAAACCATTCTCTGCTCCATTCTCAGATTCACTAATCAACAGCACTCTAATCTATTGACAACTCACCGGTTCCCTTCAATACCTTACGATAACCAGACCAGATATCTCTTACTCGGTCAATCTCCTATGTCAACATATGCACGATCCGCAGCCTTCGCACTTTCACTTGCTGAGACGATTTTAGCGCTATATCAAAGGCACCTACAGCTTCGGTATGCCCATTTCTCCAGGTTCCTTACCGCTCACTTCCTTCTCCGATACTGATTGGGCCAGTGACACCATCACCAGACGGCACCCTCATCTCGTGGAGCATTAAGAAACAGCATACAGTAGCCCGCTTTTCCACCGAAGCATAATACAAAGCGCTAGCAGCAGCCATTGCAGATGTCCTATGGCTTCGCCGACTATTACCTTATTTCCACATCACTTTGCCTCAACCTACAATACTCTACTGTGACAACATGTCCGTCATTACTCTTGCCAACAACCCAGTGTTTCATGCAAGAACCAAATATATTGAAATAGATCATCACTTCCTTCGTGATCACATCCAAGCTAAGCACATCAACATCACAACCCATCAACACAATGGATCAAACGGCAGACATCCTCACCTAGCAGCCTCTTTCAACCAACAGGTTTCACAAGCTGAGAACCAAACTGATGGTGCGATCCGCCCTGTCACTTTCCGGGAGATTAAAAGAAATAATCTCCACTACCTCTGACAAGTCAGGGTTAGTATCTAATGGCGATGCTCTTCTTACTACTAATGACCACTACGGCATACCCGTTTAGCTACGTAATAATGATTGTAGCTGCCATCACATCCCAGTTTTCCTCATGTTTGGGGGCGCTTCCTCTCTCTCTATTCCTGACAAGAAAGATGCTAAGGCTATCATTTTTAGGAAGCTTCACAAGAAATAGTTTGTCAATGCTTGCCGATGTCTGTCTTCTAAAGATAAAGCTCAGCAGCTACTGGTTTATGACCCGCCAGTTATCTATGCACAAATTGAACAATTATGTGCAAAGCAAACAATCATATAATACTTAACTGAAACAAAAAGTTTACACTGAATATAATACTTTGACAGTTTTGCACTTCCAAGTGATTTTTACTTCTAGGCCCTGGTATCAGAAAAGCAAACCTTCATGTACCCCGAAAATTTCAGGTTTTTTTTTGTGTTTTATTTGTGATTAGCTTTGATTTTCAGGCAGGGGCGGAACCCTCTTTAGGTCGGGGAGCAATTTCCCCCCTAAATTTTTTTCTATTATTATATTTATGTAATTTGTCTTCCCTCGTCTATTTTTTTAGTCTTTATTACAAGAGTTTTTAGGCAATTGCCCCTTCTAAAATTTATTATGGAGGCGCTGCCCCTTGACCCAAGAGCGTTGCCCTCGGAACCCCGTGACCTGACCGAGCTAGTCAAACCCCACCAGGGGGCACTGCCCCGTTGGACCTCCGATATATCTACGAAGCATATGACGATCAAAGATATGAACAAATAGGGGTTGCTATTGACCCATTTTCTTGTAGTGAAGAGTTGAGCCAAATTCGAGACCACCAATAGTTCATTATAAGTTTCCTCTCCTCTCCCCTTCAAAATTAAGGCTGATTTCACCTATGTTTTATGGACTCTAGTATATTACTAATTAAAAATTTTGACCGTTTTCCAGGTTTTGGAAGCAGCACAAGCGTCCACAGGGCTGACAGGTTCTCTAGGGAGAGGATACTCTTTGCAGAATGTAAACCACATAGCCCACCTGTCTGGTGCTCTTATTGGCGTTGCACTGATACTTCTCATTAGTCGAATTCCTTCTCAACCCTCGAGTCAAGGTAACAAGTTCTTAAAGGGAAACAAGGAAAAACCAAATTGAATTTCTCTATGCGATTGATTTGAAGCTATGTGGATACCCCTTCTCTTTCTTCCTCCATTTCTAATAGATCTTGATGTTAGAAACAATGTTTTTCATTTACTGGGGAGCATTGCATTCGTCCATTTATTTCTTAGTAGTTCTTTTGATATTGCTGATGTGATAATCATCATCCCAATAATTTCAGCCAATAAAGAAATATTATTAGTATTAAGAACTAAATATTTTTCTTATTTTGATTGTACCATTTATTTTCTATTAAGGATCTCAACTTAACTACTTCAAGATTAAGATTTTGTTTGGGATGATTTTTTCACTGTTTCTTACAGTTTCTTTTTTTACAAAAATTTTAATTTTTTATTAAAAACTTATTTTAAAACTAGTAAGAAAATCATCTCAAATGAAGTTTAAAGCTAAATTTTTTATTATCAAAAGTTAAAGCCTTGAACATAAATTCGATCAACTTAAAATCTAGAGAACTTCAATATAGCGTAATTTTTAAATTTGAGAAAAGGGACACTAGATGGTCTGGAGATTAATTAAAGCACACCACATCATCTGGTATACAGTGATACTGAGCACTGATATCAAGCAAAAAAAATGTCTTGATGTGTTCTGCTTGATTTTCAGATGTTGTCTGGGATACGTACATAATAGTTTTTCAATTTTTTGAGACTATAAGGGTAAGGCCCCAGCTCTGATTTACTGAATTATCGAATCCCTTTGACAAGATCTTATGATTACCCCATTAAAATAAGGGACTCTCCATTCTAAATTTTGATCATGGAAATCTTCAACGCTCATTTCTTGTTCAATCATCAATCAAACCGCCAGTTTATGCATTTGTGCTTTTACTTGGAGACCATCCCTTTAGCTAAAGGGCCTATTTGAGAATGTCTTTTTATTGTTTTATTTTTTTAATAATAATAATAATTTTATTTAATTATTATTTTTTAATTAATTTTTATAACGAAAAGCTGTGAATAGCTAAATTATGTTTTCTGCAATAATTTTACAATGCTCTCTAACAAATTTAAAATTTTGAATTTAGTGACTGTAGCACTCGAGATGAACTCACCGTAAATGTTCTAATCTTTTGGTAAAAGTCAGTGGGTGCAGAGGGAAAGCACCAAGCCAAAAAAGTTTATCACATTAGTCTAAAAATCATAGACGAGCTATATTGCGCTCGCCACCTACTAAAGTGGGTTAGATCTTTTGATCCCATCCACCGAGCAAAGCAGCAGAAGCTTCCCACGAAAATGCCCGCGAGCATCTTCTCTCCGGATCTTCGTGCAAATCTGCCCACGGTGTAGGCGGGAGAAAAAAAAAGAAAATTGCTCTTATGTCATGCAATTTTTTTTTTAAGGGGTATCCACCGCTGCTATTTCAAAAGGAGAATTTGACGGCATAATTAATTCCTCTACAGAATTTAGTGAGGTCATCCATCGACATTAGGCTCACACTTTCTTTGCCCCATTAAAGAGGCGAGCCGTAGTAGAGGGGATTTGAATCAAGGATGGGGGGGTTCCCAATCGTGCTCTCCTACCAACCGCCCTAAACCTCGGTGGATAAATTTCATTTTCAAATAAGTTACTTGGTGATCGCTACCAGGTTTTACTCATGAATTCTATTGAATGTTATGTAATCATAGTAAACTTTTAATTTTATTTTATCAGATAGATTATTAAATTCAAGTTGTTGGAAATTAAAGAAGTTGATTTTGTGCTCAAAGTGAAGATGAATTATAGAAAAATTTTAAAGATAACTCATTTCTTGCGATTAAGTTTTCTTGATCAGTCTGAGTAAAGAAAGAAGGTTGCTAGGGAAGGCAAAAGGTTTGCATATGGTTCTGTTGGGAAATATAAAGTGTTGTATAAACACATTTATCATTTGAGTGCAAGTGAATTATTGTATTCATGTGTTTGTGTTAATCAACAACGCAAATAAATTACCGTAAAAAAAGAAAAACATAATCCTCTAGCTTTCGAGTAGTTTAAAGTTTCTATTATTCTCAAACGATGGAAATGGTTATTTTTATGCAGAAAACCAATTAAAAGGAGATCACCAAAGATTATTAATTCTAATGTTCATTTATACAAATTAAAAGGAGATCACCAAAGATTATT